AAGTCTCGTGTTTCAGCTTCAGTGTTGTGGATGGACTGGAGTCGAGGACTGGGGCTCAGACATCCCTCAGTCTTGTAACTGCACATCTTCATATGAACAATGTAAACCCAGCCCACAGGTGAGCTTAAAAAGGTTTCACAATTATATCATGTAAAAAAATCTTATCTGCAAATCTTTGAAAATGTTTTTTCCTAACGGGGATCCACCGGGCCACCGTACATCTACTCTGAGGTTTTGAGTCAAACACCGACTAATTAAACCCTTTTAGCTTCACCTTTCTGCCACACCTCCAGCCTGCAATCCGTAACTTTCTTCCCACTTTCTCTTCTGCAGTCTTGCAAGAAAATCTTTGGAGCTGATGTCGAACATGTGGCAAATATCGTCCTCGGCATCCTTTTTGGATTTGCTATAGCTGCTGTAAGTTTTTTAAATTCTCTCTTTCTTAAAATTGTTATCATGTATAAATGATGTGGAGGGAGAACAAGTCAAAAGTAGAATATGACCAGATAAAAAATAAAGAACGTACATAAAATGGAGGCAGAGCAGGAGTTCATCTGACAGAATAAACTCAGACATCAGGATCTGAGAACATCAACGTCTTCATCCGTTTGATTCTCCTGGATTAAAGAACAAAAGACTTTCAGAACAAACTTTATGCCTCCATATTGTATGAAAATACCCAAGTACACATACAGATTTCCTGAAACAGTTTGTATTACAGACACCCTGTTGTCCCATAAGGAGGATGTTCAGGGTCAAATCAACAGCAGAACATCTTTGTTTAGCTCATCATATTGTGAGAATAGAAACCTCCTTTATTCTGATCACTTGTTTGTCTACTTGCTCTTTCAGATGATGTGTTTGATCATCACCATCAAAATGATTATGCAGATCAGTCGTCATGACAACGTCGGAGAAACAGATATTGAAATGAGGGTTTATTAAAGTTAATATTTTGGAGGGTTTTGAGCCAGAATGCAAGAATATTATTCTCACTTTTCCTTTGTTTTAGTAAAAACTTTGACATGAAAATGCTTTGCAGAGCCCACAATGTATTTTATTCTGATTTAATTTCATTTCTAAATGTTTGCCAGTGTTGGAAAAAATGCTTAGCCTTAAAATGTTCCTGTTCTGTTTGCAGAATCTTTAAAATGTTTTCAAATTCAATATAAAGAAAAAAAAACAGTTTTCTGAACGATTTATTAATAAAACGAGTTTATTTTAAACCTGAAATCTGTTTTTCTGTAGTAACATCTGGTTACCACAAGGTGGCAGCAGTAAAATCTGTTTGGATTTTTTTCTTCTTAAAAAGCAGAAAACATGAAAAAATATGCTCAGCTTAAATTCTGAAAAATGTTAATATTTTTGATTATCAGGAACTTAAAAAGCTTTTTAAATTTTATGTTAAGTATAAATAAAAACATGTATTTATACATATATTTTTTATCTAACCTTTTGTTTTACTAATTGAAATTAAAACCTGTTTCATAAAGTTCTGGCCAACAAATTAAACTAAAAACAACAAATGGTTAAGCAGAAGGAAAAGCCTTAAAATGATTCATTTTTCTTCAGTTCATATGGACTTAAACTGGTTTTGATGGTTTATTGATTTCTGGTAAAACTGGAGATTAAAATAGGAAAAACAACTGAACCCAAATGGTTTCCTGCTCTTCATTGTGGAGCTCCAGTTTCCTTTTCCCCTGATTTGCATCTCCATTTTGTTTATGTGTAAATTAAAGGTATTTTATGCCTTAATGTGTTTAATACTGTAGATTTTTTTTTCTTAAATTTTGCTTGAAAAACATCTTGAGTGGAAATGAGACATTTTTAAAACCCGTCTTGTTGAATTTATTTACTATGTCGCTGCGTTTCATTGTGACACTTCCTTGTGCTGATCTTTGATCATTGGCTCCGTGTTGAAAGGTTCCCCTCATTGTTTGTGGCATAAGAGCTCATTGTAACGGGACGGCTCAGTTCTCTGTCTCTCAACTGTCTAGTCAAAGTAAAACAGAAAAATGGGGAAAATTAACGGATGCATGAAGGCTGTTTTTATCGTCTTCAATGGATTGTTTGCCGTAAGTAAAATCACTTTAAATTACTTATTATTTACGCAGAAAGTTTTGAACTAATGTTCTTTTCAAAGCACATGGAATAAATAGTCATTAATGAGAGAAACTTAAGTCCAGCAGGTAAATATAATTATACTTTGAGTTTTTGTTTTTCATAAAATTTGCAACAAAAAAATGCTAAAAAGGAGAGTTATGAAGAAATGAAAAAAAATTTTGTTTTAATATTCAAACACTAATATTTGTGTTTCTTATATTTTATTTATTGAATTATTAAATTATTTTTCTTTGTGTAAGAGTGGTAATCCAGGCTTTATCTATTTATTTAGTTATAAGAAATTAGTTTTTCATGTCAGTACATGTAGGAGTCACTGTATATTTTTGATGAAACTTATTTTCTCCAGACTTTCCTCACTTTAATCTGGACTCTATTTCATACTTATGGAGCATTTTATGAGTTTCTAACTCCGTCGGTCTCTTGTGGTTTACTACAGAAATTACAAAAATGTGACATCAGAAGCAGAAAATAATTTTTCAGTTGATTTATTTAATCTAAGAACAGATTGCTGGATTAAATGCTCTTCTATCAAACTTTTCATTATATTGTGTTTCCTTCAGTCATAAAACTTTTGCTTTGTGAATCTGAATCTTTGGTTGAATAAATTTGTGCATTCCTCTTCCTTTAGGTTTTGGGAGTCGCTTTAATCTGGCATTTAATATTAGCTGGGATTCAGCAACAGGTAAAACTCACAAGAGATGAATTCAGATATTTTAAAGTGGGAACCTGTGGAGAGTTTGTGTGTTAAATATAAAGTGTAACCTGCTGTAGGCAACGTTCTCGGTTCTTTGTTTTGTAAGATTTGCTGAGACTCGTCTGTTTGCTCTGCGGTCAGGTTGAAGCCTGGCTGGCTGCCTTGGCCGCTTTCCTGATCTCCCTGCTGGGGAACCTGGCTGCTCGCATCGAGAGCAAATTCCTCCTCAAAGTTGTATGAAATTCATGTAATTTATGCAAACAAAAAGTTAATAATGGATTGAAAATTAAGTCGATTTTATATTGTTTTCTGTTCAGTTCGCAGTTTTGATGGGGATTGGAATGGAAGTCATGCTAATCTGTGGAGTTGTTGTCATTGGTTGGATAATCCAGGTAATTACTAAAAGCTGTGAAGACAGATCAGTCTGTGAGGTTCAGCTGGTAAGACAGGCATCGTGATGACTGTCTGTAATCAGGGTGGCGCATCAGAGCGGTTAAAGACCAGGGATGTCCAAAGTGTGGCTCTGGGGCCATTTACGGCCTTTGGAAAGATTCTGTGTGGACCTTTCATACATATCATCTTTTATACATATTCTATAAATATGTATAAAATATGTAATCTCTGTCAGTTGTCAATTATAAATAATTCACTTTTACTACAAAATAGAAAGGGAGGTGGCGGCACCCATTTATTAAACTGGGCTAAATGAGAGGAAAAGAAAAGGAAAACAGGGACTCGTATCATGTTCTTTTATCCTAGAATACATCTACAATAATTTACAAATTATTTCTGCTGGTGCATTTCATCAAAATATTGTATATTTAGTTCGTTTTTACTTTTTCATAACAAAAGATACAACATTTCTGTTGCCGATGGCAACTTTATCTTTAACGTTAACTGAGGCTACATTTACGACTCAGGCTGAAGAAATGTTTTTTTATGAAATCAGATTCTTTTTTTCGCGTGGTCGTTCATGTTTCCAAATGTAAGCGACTTGTATGTGAACTGCAAGCGACCCGAAAATGTCCCGCATGAACAGTAGAGGACGCAGTAACGTCACAAGTAGAGAGCGCTTAGAAGAAGAAGAAGAAGAAGAAGAACTCTATGTTTGCGGAAGTAAACATGGCTGCTAATGGTGGAGCTTATCTTACGATTTTAAAGTTCAATCGTAAGATAACTTTATGAAACCAACACAGTAACGACTTAATCCTCATCATAATCTGCCTCGTTGCTGTTTTTCTTGTATCAGGACACGGAATAGGGACGTTTGTCAAATATCAGTGACGTTCAGGTTGCATGAATGCGACCTGAACTTTGACTAATTTGGAAAGATCGGATTTAGAACCACATCTCAGAGGCCTGCGTCGCATTAGTTAAAAATCAGATCTCTGTTGTTTGCATTATGGCAAAACAATAAGAATCGGGTCATTTCAGGCTGCAGTGTGAACGTAATCAGACACACAGACACAATGAAGTCACTGTTTTTATTTATTTCTGTCAAGTGGCAGAACTCCACACCAAAGTAATGTAAGCATCTTTTGTAATGAGTTTCTGCTCTGCATACAGAGTCTCTGATGGCCACAAGATATGAAGGGTTGCAAGTGGAGAAGCAAATATCCTTCACACATAAAAATCAGCATCACTATGCATAGAGTTTGTGTTTAAACCTCTTTACTAAACAAAAATGGTGGATGAACTCAGTTCAGCAATCCTCATATATTTTTCATCATCACTCGGGTAGGAGGCTTTTCAGGTTAAGCAACTATGGAAGCTGAGAGTGGACATTTTCTGCACGTACTTTCTCCCGATGATTTTCTCAAAATAAGGAGTTAATCTAGAGAAAACAAAAAGCATTTGGAAATAATTTCCCGACAGTTTTCTAGAGATGGCAGGTTAATTTTGAGAAAACCAGGGGGAAGTTTATACACATACAACCACTTTCAGTAACAGTGTCACGCTCAATTGATTGTTTTTAATTATTATTTTGAAGCTAAGAGAACAACTAACCTTTATCTCTATAAACTGCCATCATAATGACGAAAATCTTAAAAAATGAGACCTGAAACGGATAAGCAGTCACTGATTTCAGCTTCTGCAAATAAAAGTGAACTTTGAATGATCTTTTTGTTTTGACCTTGTGCACCTTTAACTTCACCATTCAATCACATTTCCAGCACTGCACTCTCCTGCGGTGTTGTGAGAAAACCTCTTGGACATGTTCTCAAACGCTCCACTTTTACTTGTGGATCACGTCTGGATTGTATTTCATTGCTGTCAGTTTTGCTCATGTTTTCTGTTTTATTGTAAAGACAGAAAAACTTAAGGAGAAAAATACTTTTTTCTTTACATTTATCAAGTGAAAATTGCATCACACTCGTTCTAAGAACAGAAACCTTCCTGTTGTTCTGGCCTCGTCTCTCTTTTCACCACATTTATCTGCTTGTTCTTCCAGATGATGGGCTTGATCTTCTCAGTCATCATGGTGAAGCAGATCCGTCCCACCGGATCAGATCGGATCCGTCAACGCCGTCACACCGTCGGAGCAGCTGTAGAAATGACCACTGACTGAAATGAAGCTCCGTGTTCTGGACGTCTGTGACTCCATGCAAAACGTTATTTCCTCAGATTATTTGCCATAAAATGTTTTGCTTTTAAAACAGAACCCATTAAACTTGTTGCAATCATCGATGTTGATGTATTTTATTACTTTAATGCTGCAGAATCAAATGTTGAATTTAAAAATTGCTGTTCTGCATATTTTTGTAAACCATTAAAACTAAATGATCAATAATTAAGTTATTTTAAAGAAATGTCGTTGCAGTGATAACTCCTTTTTAGTATGTAATCTCTTTCTCAGTTCTTAAACATATCAGCATTAATTCATTCATTTCTGAGTAAGCTAACTTTAATTATGGTTTAAAATAATCTTTTTAATTCAATTTTGGTTCTTTTTTAAATGATCCAAAACTTTTGTGGTTTTTTTAGTTGTTTTCTCGGGAAATCTGACTTTATACAGTCACAGATTCTTGCTTTCTTTTACTTCAGAGCATCCCATTGATGGTTTATTGACATTTTTAAATGGGAGGCCGTGTAAAACATATATTTTAAAATATTTTCAGGATAAATGTCAGAAACTAACTTTTAAAAAATACTTTTTAAAAGTTTAAAACTTTGACATTTTAATACTTCCTTACAAGAAGTGTCCTTGCTTTGCATATTTAAATAAATATTTACTTTAATAAATCTGGCGATTTTTTCTGTAGTAACATCGAATTGCCACCAGATGGCAGCATTGGCGGATAATTGGTACTTTTCAAACTTAAACTTTTCTCATTTTAATCACAAAATTCAAATGAAATGAAACATAAGTGACTCTGTTCATTTATTTTTTGCTAAAAGTGATTTTTCTTTGGCAAAATATGACCTTTAATTTGGGAAAGTTATGAAATCAAAGTTTCATTTGGAGTCTAAAAGAGACCGAGTTCCGGTTTTTCATTCTCTTTGAGACCTAAAGTAACATTCCGACTTTATTCTCATAATGCTACGATTTTTGTCATATTTTATTCACTTTATTCTCGTATTATTTCAGTTTCATTCTTATGATTTTATTCTCATAATATGCCAACTTTGTTCTCAAAATATTATGACTTTATTTTTGTAATATTAGGACTACTCTTGTAATGTCATGATTTTATTATCATTTTTTTTAGTGTTTAATTTTTTAGTAATATTCCATAGTAGCTCAAAAACACATTTTAAATGATAAAAACTGAGGCAAACCGCCTTTCAATCTGTAGAGACTCACACGGAGAGAGAAAACAGCAGTTAGACGCTTTATTGGACCGAGAATTTGGCGCTTGGACACCGGCAGAAGACGTGTAGTCTTCCCCCGGCCCCGGACACTGGTGGTGGAGCACCACCTGGAGAGGAAGGAGCCTGCAGGGAGCCTGGAAAATGTCTGGCAGGATGAGGGTGGAGACGGGGAGGAGGTGGGTCGAATTTACACCTAGGCTTCATATTTTATGTGTATCCAAAGTAAAAACCGTCAAAAGTTATGCTTCAGTTCATTACTGAGGATTTTTTCAAAACACCAAAGAGTCCAAGTTTCATTTATCTGATATTCTGCAACTATCAGATAAAGAATGACAGGATTTCCTGTCAATCTGGTCTCTGAATGATAAAGTAATTATGACATTTCCCCTTGAACTTATGTTCACTTGAAGCAGGAAAACACAGTGAGGTTGGTGTTTGGAGACTTTTCTTCATGTCTGCCTTTGAATAACAGATCATATCTAAATGTGTTCAAATATTTCCTGAACAAATGCACTTTGTTTTCTTTGTATGAACTTCAGACAGACTTCCTGAAGCAGTTCACAGTTCACGAAGTGCTAATCTAGGTTGGACGCTGCAGATCTAGAAGTTTGTTTTGATTTCAGACAGGCCAGCTGTAACCCAGGAAAAAGATCATTACCATCTCAGTCCACAGTAACCCATGAGAAGTCCGACCATGTTTCGTGTTTTGGAGCATAAATGTTTCCCCTCATCTGAAAGACAGTTTGAGTTCAAACTGTTTCAGCTTTAAGGTGAAACCTGCTGTGCTGCCAGCAGTCCAAACCAAGGAGAAGTTCTCAGTTTATGATGCCCAATTCTGTTCAAACTTACTGTAAAATACCACAAACATTTAAGGTCTGGACTTTTACTTTATCAGCCATTCTGTTGTGGATTGGCTGGGATGATTGACCAGGTCAGTAGTGGGCAGTGCTGCCTAAAAAGTTAGCTGTGATAACCTCAGAGTGTGTTTCCTCCTGATAGTCCAGTAGATTTGGTTCCATTGGGACCAAAACTGCAACATCTGTTCCATCTCCAGCTGCTGTGGTTCTTTCTCACTGCAGGCAAACCAACTAAACCCTTTGAAAAACCAGTTCCCCTCCTCGCCTGTGGGGGCGCTGCACCAAGAACCACTGAAGGAAAAGACATGAATCGACACAAAGCGCAACTTCCTTTCTTCACAAAAGGTAAACAAAAATGGAGAGTTGGCAGATTTCTCCTGCTAACGCTAGGCTAGCACATTTGCTCTGGTTGCATTTATCCAGAGTGCCTTACACTGAAGTCCACTTCCTGCTCTTGGCGCGGTCTCCGGTCCTCTTGGCGTTCACATATGAATTCACAGCACACCAGAGTTCACTTCACAAAACCGAGACAAAGGTTTGTCATTTGGTGCATTGCAATAATGGTGGAGATGGGATTACAGGAAATGGAAGTGCTGCGAAGACAATCTTCACTCACTTCAAAATAAGAGCGTGAATATAAACATCTAACTACTTCAAGAATTAACAGGTGGTAACCAAAAACTTCAACACACGAGTAGTTCACCAAATATTTGGGAAGCTAAGTATGCTAAATATTTTCAGAGTTAGCTAAAATGTTAAAGTGCTAAATAAAAAATTAGCTCCGTTATTAGCGCTTTAGCACGTAAGCAGAAGTACGCCCACCACTGGTCTAGATCTTTCTTCAGATCTTCCAAACAAGCCAGCCTTGTTCAGTGTTTTTTGATTTGAACTTTAACCTTTAAGGTTGGAGTCTGAGAAGGAACCGTCGGTTGTTTCTCTGAGTCTTTGACTTTTGGCTGAACCTGTCCGGACTCCAGTCTGATCAGGAACAAAACAGATTTTATTAACACTAAACATCAATGCAGCAGTAACTATAGAGTGCTACAGTTAAACACTTAAATCTTAAATATTTTATCCATTTGAAACCACATTGATGTAGAAAATAAATACAGTTGAGAGTGAATCTGCCATCCTTATCATGGAAATGCAGTTATGAAAAATCTCCACTATAAAAACCCATTCATGTTAATCCTTCTGCTTTGGTGCAAAGGAAAATGTCAGAGTCATGTTGCATGTAGGATATTAAATAATTCATACTTTATTAACCTATTAGTTAAAGTTTTGTTTCAATTTAAAGTTAAGGTTTGATGGAAAAAGACAATTCATGGCTGTAATGAGATTCTGTATTTATTTTACGCCTTTTTGCTGATATTGGCAACACCTGCAGGGCATTCTGGGAAAACCTGTTGTAAGGTAATTGGAGACATATGCTTTCTTGATTTTTACACCTACAGTTTCTAAACATTTGAGGAATGCTTTATATTGAAATATATATTTTTTTCTGCGGCTACTTTCCAGTTCACTATATTTACTTTTCACACTGAATGAGTCAAACCAGAGGTTAACTTTGGCTTTTTTTCCTGAACAAAAAGAAAACGTCTTTGCACATGAGAACATTTCCAGACATGCATGAATGTTTACACTGTCCTGTTTAATCCCATAAAATCACAACATTCCAGCCCCTGTTTCTGCCTGTCGCACATAAAAACTCTCCAAATGCAGCAAATCTGTGATCAGTAAGAACAACAGTCATTAAAGCAGCTTTTGTCAATGCTTTAACTCTCCACTGGTTGATTTGATCTTCTCACAGATTTTAGGGTGTGGTTGTCAAAGCAGAACAAACTGTAAAGAAGTAAGACGTCAGAAGCTTTGAATGACCCACAAACAGAGGAAGGAAGATTAAACAAAAAATGTACTTATGAAGTATCCATTCAAGAAAAAACTCAAATAAGAATGAAAAAGTATTTCGTAAAATGGCTTCTAAAGTAACGAGGACGTAAATTTTGAAACGCCACAAAAAAAAGAGGTTTTTAGTGACTCAGCCAGGCTATTAAAAGCTTAGTTATATTGGATGTTGACGCTACACATGGCTGCAATAAACAGGAAGTAGCATCTGCAAGCTGGCATGAACCACACATTGGGCCTCCCCTCCGAGCTTCAGGTTTAGACTTCAGAGCTCCAGTGGATGGGAGAATTTACTACCTCAGAACTTATTCAGGAAATGTGTTTCCATCTCCCCTTTAGTGCATTATTTGTTTTTAAGAAAAGCCAAAAATCACCTCAAGTAAACTGAAAAACGTTTCTGGAAGTTAAAGTTCAGGAAGGTATTTCAAATTGTGCCATTTCCATAAGTAAAAACAAAGATCTACCTGATCTGATTTTAAATTACTGACTATTATTAAATGTGAAATGCACTAGCCTATTATACAACTGTACATCTTTGAAAAGCATTAGTGGAGCCTCCTGTACAATCAACAACAATGCAGCAAGTGGTTTCTGGATGGTAAATCAACAAAAACAACACTTGTCTTTTCCAGCAGCCATTGTGCAGTGCATACAGCAGTAAAACCAGCCGACCAAATGTGCTGGAGCTCAGCTTGGGTTGCTAGGTACTAGGCAGAACTCTGCTGAGGTTGCTAGGTAACGGATCAGTGTGACTCAACAATCAGGAAGTTTTTGAAACTGCTCATTTTCCAGACACCAAAAACATTAACTTAATGGCAATAAACATCTTTTGTTGTTTTTAGAAGCAGCAGAAACCCAAATAGAAAAACGTGCAAAAGATGAATTTTGAATTCTAGATTTCCTTTAAGCAGCTTTAAAAACCCTGAAACTGGGTTTTACTGTTGGCCGTTTACCTGGTTGCAATGTGTTGTTGCTCATTATCCTTCACTGTTGCGTTTTGTTTTTTTGTTTTTTTTTGCGACAGTAACGGTTTCCCAGAATGCCCTGTAGGTGTCGCCAATGTATCCAGCACTGTAAAAATGGAGGCAACATTTCCAGTGGGTTTTTGTTTGCTTCATTAGATTGTCTGAGGCATGTGTGAGGATTTTGTGCAAACTGGAGCCTTTCACGTTCTCTCCCTGAACGCTCTCTTCCAGATCGCTGTGCTGTTTTGTTTTCTGTGTTATGATGGTTTTACATCAAAGCTCTGAACTTCTTTTGCTACCCTTGTTAGTTCCTGTAACATATCCTCGTCTTGTATTTTTTTAATACTATGACGGTTTTATTGTGTAACAGAGACGTATTTCATAATTGTAGGGGGAGCCAAAGAGAAAACACTTTTAGACAGTGTAGTTTTTCCAATTCTTGGGAAGCTTTGGGGGAGGATGTTGGAAGGTTGGTGCTTTGCATATGAACACACTTCTGGAGAGAATCCAGGAGCCAGAACTCGGTTTCTGGTTTCATGTCTTGCAGCAGCTGGATTCAGTTTTAATCAGCTGCAATCATGCAGAGGTTTCATCTTCTCACGGTCTGCTGTCCTAAATGACTCAGTAATCTGCCAACAATAGAAACAACTTGCAACAGGAAGAAGGAAAAAAAAAGAGACTATCAGACATTTCTAAGAACGGGAGCCATCTTGTTTGGAGAAACTGTAAACTGGCTCCATCCGCTCCCCATTTTGAAAAATCAACCTGACCTTGATCCTTAACGTGAGTCAAAAACATTTAAACAACCATGAATCACACATCCCCAGGTTGTAAATAAAAGCTATAACCTGCAAAACAATTTATTGCCATACAACTACTGATTAAAATGTTGCAAGTCGAGGAAATTGAAGGGAACATTTCTCCAAATAGAAGAGAGAAAACGATCCTCATTCCTGACCTCATGCTTTGTTCGGCACATTTCTGGACTTTTCCCAGTTGCGAAATTCATGGTTTGTGATTCAGCTTCATGCAAGCAAAACTTTGACCTGTTATAATTGTAGGAGCTATTTTCCCATTCAGAGAACAGGTACAGGAATAGGAGCAGAAGCCTGTAACCCTTTTGCCTGAACTACAAATAAACCCAAAGAACTATATTTTGACTTTGATTCCCTTTTTTGCTGCGTAAACCAGAATCCACGGTGCATCAGGTGACTATTTGAGTTGGATTTACTTTTGTTTTGATCACTTTCGAGTTTTTGAGTTTTTTGATTTTTTGAATTTAAGTTTGGGGACAAATGGTCACTACAATAATTTTGCACAAGATTTCAAAATAAAAAGTAGAAGTTAAATGACAGTAAGTTATAAGATGTTGAGCAACTGCTGGCAACAAAAGGAAAAGGGTTTTGGTCGTTACTCACTGCTGTTGCTTTACATAAACAGGAATCAACGTATGTGTTTAAAACCTCAACTTTACAGATGGTTTCATAAATTTGTTTACAATTAAAGGGGATCTGCCATGCAAAATTTACTCTTTGGACACTTTTATACTTTTATTTGTGTTTCTGTTGGTTCTAAAAACACCTCAAGCACTTAAAATTAACCGTCTAGCTGTTTAATGTTTCAAAAACCTCCTACTTAAGTCACATTCTACGGGCTCTTGGCCGTTACCTAGCAACCCCAGTGGAACTCTGCCAGTCACCTAGCAACCAAAGCCGAGCCAGAGAACGTTTGGTCAGCTAGTTTTACTTTTTGTAAGTTTTTATACTTCCACTTGGGTTTCTACTATTTAAAAAAAAAACTGCCTAAGTGTTTAAAGTTCCCACCAGACGTCTTTTGGAATCAGTTTTGGTTTCTGGAAAGCGAGCCGCTTCAAAAACGTCCAGATTGTTAAGACACATGGCGCCACTGGCAACCCGCGCTGAGATTGTCCAGTTGCTTTTACAATGTTTCACCTCATTCTGAGTTTCAGAAGTTGAAAATTTCTGACATTAATCTTAAAATTAAAATTTTTTTCTTGTAAATTTTCATCTTTTCAAAATCAGGAAATTTCAAAAAGTTGAAAGTTTCCAACGTCTTGATCTCAAATGTTCTGTGTTTTTTCTTTTGGTGGGCAGGATGTCCCGTTTTGTCTGTCTGCAGGAACCCGCCGTCGCAGCTTCACAAGTTCAGACTTGACGTTCTAATTTGTCTGCCAAGCTGCTTTCTAACGTTCATCAGTGGTTGAGATTAACTCTCATTTGTGATAAACTGAAACTCAAAACGAAACCTAACCCCCCTGCAGACAGTTAAGTTTCTGTTTGCTGTGAAAAAGCTTTCAGTTAGTTGGCGGGTTTTGGGCATGCTGTCTTAAATATGAAGGTCAGAGTCCTGAGGAGGAAAATTCTCTTTGAATGTTCACCAAGTTTCAGATTCAGGTCTGAGCTGGAGGCTGGCAGCCAAACGTCAGTCCAGCTCTGTCTAAACGAAGCCAAAATGCGTAGGCAGGCATTTCCGGTGCTTCACTGTTTAGATTCAATCATTCTGTTTAGCAATCTAAAACCTACCAGGCCCCAAAAACCCTCATCTGGATTCAGTTTGGTTTTATGAAAGCACTGGAGAAAAGGGCTGCTTCTGCTTCCTCAGGCAGCTGCATCCAGCAGCAGAACCGCTCTGGTCATTAATATATTCACAGATAAAATCGAATTAAAAGTTTGTAGCTCTTTGATATTTTAATCTTTTCACACCTCAAAACATTTTGAAATCTTGGTCCATCAATTTCTCAGGAAAAACATAAAATCTTTGAGTGTTTTTGGTTTAATTTATTGCAAATATCCGAATACACTTGAAATAAGACAAAACTAACTTACAAGTAGCTTTTCAGCAACATACAGGAGTTTGTTTTAGGTCAATTATTCCTTATAATAGATTAAAAATGTACCAGCTCCACTGTGAGATTATTTCATTCATCATATGGTAAAAATGTTTTGTTATAAGTGAAATCTGTCTTTTCTTAACAATATTAAGGATGTATTAGCTTAAAACAAGCTCCTCTATCATGCTTAAAAGTTACTTGTAAGTTATTTTTTTTATTTCAGGTGAACTAAAATATTTGCGTTAGAAAACTAGATCACAAATGCTGAGTAAAACGTTCCTGTGGTGTTGAACTGAGGTTAAAATTAGGATATAAATAATGACATAATTGTTTTTAAAGACTATAATTAAAAATTGCTTGTTATGATCTGTAGATGTTTGGATTTTTAATTTGATTTATGTTCTGTTTTGTTTATTTCCTTACTGATATTTTCTCTTGCTACAGTTTCTCCCTTGTGTCAGTTCAGTTAGTTTATTGTTTGTGTTTTTGGATTTGTTTATTTAATGTTTTTCTCTGTTTACTCTTTTCATTCCCTGATTTGCTCCAACCTGCTTCTTTCCCCAGCTGCATCCTTCCGCCTGTCATTAGCTCCTCTGAGGATTCGGCCATTTTCTCTGCCTCTCTGTTTATTTAATCCAGATTTGTTTTTATTAAAGTGATTTAGATGATATTTCTGTCACCCACTGGAGCTTTTAAACCACATAGTCTATTTTTCTGCTGACTGCGAAGTGAAATCTGGGTTTGCTTGCTGAGGTTTCCTGTAAACCGCTGGGTTTAGAAAAATCCATCCATCCATTTTCTGAACACCCTTGTCCCTCAGTGGGGTCGGGAGGGGTGCTGGTGCCTATCTCCAGCTAACGTTCCGGGCGAGAGGCGGGGTACATCCTGGACAGGTCGCCAGTCTGTCGCAGGGCAACACAGAGACACAACCATGCGCACACACACACACCTAGGGGCAATTTAGACAGACCAATTAACCTAACAGTCATGTTTTTGGGACTGTGGGAGGAAACCGGAGTACCCGGAGAAAACCCACGCATGCACAGGGAGAACATGCAAACTCCATGCAGAAAGACCGGGGCCGGGAATCGAACCCAGAACCTTCTTGCTGCACGGCAACAGCTCTACCAACTGCGCCACTGTGCAGCCGGTTTAGAAAAATCAGCACATTAAATAAAAACATAATTATTGAGGCTCTTTGTTTACAGACTGATGTTTTGTAAAATTATGTAGTCAAAAATGAACAGCAATAAATTAGAGAAAAAAAAGGTTTTTCAAAGTCTTATTATTACCATGTTGTTCATAAATGTCACATAAATGTTTCAAGGAGAAATGATGTCTTATTTCCAGGGTTTGTCTGCCTGGAAAAGGACCGTGTTCAGAAAACCCTCTGAGCCTCAACTCAGTCAGAGAGGCTGATGCTCCTTCCTGACCACCATGTTGCTTTATGGAAATTATTTGACTTTCCAGCACACAAAGGAAACCCAAAATTTGGACTGTTTTGAAAAAAGTTGCAGTTTGTGTTGATCCAACACAGCAGTAAACAAAACTTACATTTCTTTAGATTATTACCTAAAGACATTCTCAGTAGTTCATGCAGTAGTTCCTGGTTTCCTCACTTCTGCTCCCACATGTCAGCAGAGTAACGACAGGAGCGGCTCTACGGAGGAGTAAACTGGATTTCATGTCGGCTGTCAGCTGAATGCTGATGAAAACCAGACATGGCAGCTCCTCTCCCACATCGTTACGTAAACCTGGAGGTCTCTGGTGAACTTGCACAACGTTCAGCTTTGCATATATGGAGTTCATTTCCTGTCAAAACGTTGGAATCAAATAAAAAAAAAATGTCTGGTATGTGCTTCAAAAAAGTCAGAATTCTGAGGAAAAAGGAACTGAATTCTTAATCAAAACTTTGAGTTTAAGGTTGAAATTATTTCTTTAAAGTCAGAATTGTTAGTTTATAATCAGAGAAAAAAGTCACAATAAAAAAAAAATACTGGAGCTTAAAGTGAGACTTCTGAAAAGAGTTCTGAGAAAAAGTCTGATTTTTGAGAAAAAAATTAAAAATTCTGAGAAAAAAGTCAAAATTTTGACAAGTCAGAATTCAGGGAAAATTATATTGATATATTTTTAGATTAATCACAGTCCCAGTCCCTCTGTGTGGTGGCCTGTCAGCTGTAGTTCATCTCCTCTGCCAAGGAAATGACAGTATTGGAAACAGCAGACAGGGAGTGGTGGCTTCCTGATTTCTGATTAACTTCTTTCCTGGCCAGTTTTGGTGGACGGCCACATCAGACTCAGCTGAGCTGCTTCCTGACATGTTTACATTTTCACTGTTCGACATGAGATCAGATCAGAGAAGTTTGACAGCAGAGAGTCGGATGTTTTTTCATGCCAGATCTGATTTTAAACAAACTTTCTTGCTTTCTTTTAAAAGAAAAATCTTACAAATGACTGCGAATAAATCTCCATCCTTGTTGAGCAAATATTATGGCTGTATTCTTGTAATTTAAAGAGAAATTCTCAGCTGTTCCCTAAAACAATATACCCAACTGATTAAAATAAGTCTCTGTGATTTCTTTTTGTTTTTAGAAAAGAAAGCAAGTATTTTATTTTTAAGTCTAAGGGGAGAGACAGAGCATGTTTATGTCTCTCCTCTCCGATTTCTGACTCTAAAGTCAGAATTCTGGGGAAAAAATCTGAATTTTGATAAAAATGTCAGAATTACGAGCTTTCCAATTTGAAGACAACATTCTGAAAAAATAGAATTTTGTGAAAAATGTCAATTTTGAGAAAAGTTAGAATTCTGAGGAAAAACGTTAGTTTTAAGAAAAATGTCAGAATTTTGATAAAGTCAGAATTATGACATTTCTGAGTTTAAAGTTAGAATTTTGAGGTAAAAAGTCTGAATTGTGAGATTAATGTCAAAATTGTGAGGGAAAAAAGTTCAAATTTTGAGTTTAAAGTCAGAATTCTGAGAAAAATGTCAGATTTTTTTTTTTTTTTTTTGCAAAAAATCTGAATTTTGATGAACAAGCCAGAGTTTTTCAGAGAAAAAATGTTTATCTTTAAATAATATTTTTAGATGCATCACATTTGTTGACTCGTTGATGCCGGCAGCCCGGTTTGAAAAAGGCTGGATCCCCTTCTGTTGGAAAGCATCCGAGCTGCCTGGTGTTTGTGTCTCTCCTCCACAGCTGAAGCTCATGAAGGCTCTTCCACACGAGTCGTTTCCTGTAACAATCGCCACATTGTTTGGCTCAGCTGGTAAACACGCTCACATTGTGCCTTGGTTTGCTCCTCAAACTGCTGTTGCTGGAAGTATTCAGAAATGAGGAGAACCTGAAAAAAATCAAGATGTTTCAAAGAATGGAGAGACAGATAAGCTAAACAAAATCCAGAAAATCAGATTTTCTGGATTCAAAGTTTTAGTTACAGAAGTCGGAGTTGCTCTGCAGCTCTCCTCCAATCAGATCCTCTCCAGGATTTACGCCTGTTGCTAGGCAACACAGTACTTCAGCTCCTCTACAGGTTTTCTACTAAATTCAGGTTTGGAGATTGACTAAGCTACTTCAGGAGCCACTCCTTAGCAGTCCTGACTGTGTTGCGTAATTCACATTTCTTTTTAAGTTACGGCGTCTCAGAGCCAGAAGGTTGTGGTTAAATGTGGAAAACAACATAATCCACAGTAGTCTAAGAAAGGGTGTTCCTTGTAAACTCCATGTAAACTTGAATTGCTTTCACTTCTTGCTTCTATACTGTACTGTTATCACTACGTGTTAGATACTCTTTGTATGTTAACGTAGATCAACAGCAAGCCAAACTCAATTTCATGAGCCAGGAAGCTGAGCGTCTTGCTCCTTTATTACGTTTTCTTGACAACTTTGAGCAGTGGTGTGGAAAGCTCAATGAAAGGTTGAGTGAAACTATAAGAAAGAAAAATAAAATATGCATCAGCTCTAAATATACAGAATAAACTTCTAGAGTCTGAATATAATTAACCTGAGCTGCAGTTAAAAAAAACAGTCACGTAGCAACCGTTGCTATGTAAATAAAAAACTATCAAAATATGGCTTTTCTAGAACAAACACATTTTGGAAAACAATCTCAAACTAAACTAACAAAACATATAACACCAAACAGAACACAGATTGAACAGATTGTTTTCAGAGGTGTGATAAAAGATTGATAACACAGGAGGTGAAGTTCATACATTAACAGGCAGGCTTTCTCTCTACGAACAGGTATTCCAAACTGCAACTGCCTCTGCTACCCACAATGCACTGTTCTCTAAAAATTCTCCTTCAAAATAAAATACAGAGAAATTAATAGAACTTTTTTAAAACTAATTAAAACATTTCCAACATCCAGCCTGGGCAGAACATATACTTATATTTTTTCCAAGCATTGTGATTTTCTTTTCCTTTTTTTTATTAAAGGGGACCTATTGTTCTTCATTGAAAAGTTAGCATAGGCCTGTGGGCTAAACAAAACGTGTTCATTACATTTTTTACACAATGAGATTTTAGTCAGCTCTGTAGGTAACAGTTCTGCTGGGGTTGCTAGGTGACGGGCAGAGTTCCGTTGGGGTTGCTAGATGAAGGGCAGAGTTCCGTTGGGGTTGCTAGGTGAAGGGCAGAGTTCCGTTGGGGTTGCTAGGTGACGGGCAGAGTTCCTTGGGGGTGCTAGGTGAAGGGCAGAGTTCCGTTGGGGTTGCTAGGTGATGGGCAGAGTTCCGTTGGGGTTGCTAGGTGTTGCTAGGTGACAGGCAGAGTTCCGTTGGGGTTGCTAGATGAAGGGCAGAGTTCCATTGGGGTTGCTAGATGAAGGACAGAGTTCCGTTGGGGTTGCTAGGTGATGGGCAGAGTTCCGTTGGGGTTGCTAGGTGACGGGCAGTGCTTGCTGATTTGTGACTTTACATTCTGGAGGTTTTTGAAATGACTCATTTTCACCAAAAAACATGAACTTTTTTTCAATAACTGGATTGCTGATTGTTTTATTGTTTTTAGAAGCAGTATAAACCCATATAGAGATTTTCCAGCCTTTTTTCCTGCACTGGTTTACAATATTTAGTGCATGTCTGTGTTATTTTAACATTTTGTAAACAAACTTTTTAATTCGGTTTAGTTTCAAGCTGTTTAAATGCTAAAAACAATCAAAAACAAAACAGATTCTGCACTATCCTATTTCATTTCCTGTTGTTTTGGTGAGTCTTTATGCATTAGTATGTAAACCTTGGGGTTGCTCAAGCTGATTGGCTGCTGTATTTCCACCCAGACACTCAGACTCTCTGCAGGAGCTTTTGAACGTCACATGCAACCTGCATCCCTGCCCTGATCAGCCGCTTGGTTTCTCCTCTTCAGTGTCGAAGTGAAAAAAAAAGATGGGGAAAATAAACGGATGCCTGAAGTGCCTTTTCATCTTCTTTAATGTGCTGTTTCTAGTAAGTAGAAGTTTTTTTTTTTTTTACTTTTTAATGTTTTTGCATTTCTAAAATGTTCATTTTCAGTAATTAAGATTTCATAAAACATGTTGATTAACAAGAAGAATCAGGAGTTTAAGAAAAATAACACAAAAAGACAAAAAAGTTGTTTTTGCTTTTTTATTATTATTTTTGCTGTTTTAAACTTCTTTGAACTTTTGCTGTATTATTAGTATTATCAGTTATTTTATATTAATTATTCTGCATTGGAAAAATATGAATTATTTTGGATTTTTGGAGTATGGAAAATGTTCAAATTGTTCTTAATTCACTTTTCAGACATATGTATCTGTAAAACTTGTAATTTTAGTTGGAATTTAATTAATATTACAGTTAAAAGTAACATAGGATGAACAGAGTACACAATGTTCTGATGTGTAATTTGTCCACTTGGTGCCCAATAAGCAGATGACTTCCAGTAACAGAAACTGTGTGTGTGTGTGTGTGTGTGTGTGTGTGTGTGTGTGTGGGTTGGGGGTCCTGTTACACTCCGCCCATCGAACCCTCCTGTTGTTTTCTGTCTTTAATGATATTTTAGTGCTTCCTTTTGAAGACATTACATTCTTTCGGTTTCCTTTTGGATGAAACGGACAAAAAAAGGAAGAAAAATGAAAGTTTGGAATTTGAGAAATCTTGGAGAAAAGTTTCAAAAGTTTATTGGTGCAAGAATGAAACACAAAAAATTAAAAGGTGAATTTGTAAAGTTTTTATAACTCTTTTTTTTGTGTCTTTAATTATATGACCCAAGCTATATCTCCTCCGCACCTTTTTTTTTTATTTTTTTTTTTATTGCATTTTCCGTTCGCGGCATTTTTGTGAAGCTGCGTCACTTCAGACAGAAACCCATTTTCTGCTCTCTACCGCCCTCTCGTGTCCTGCAGCTGAAATTACAGCAGGATTCACTACGCCTAAAATAAACTATTAATCCCCTAAAACAATCCAGGATTCTTCATTATTTTATTCCAATTATTTATTAATTCAAAAAATGAAGAATACGTTTTATTTATAATTTTATCATAAAATGAAGTTATTTTGGCTCCCTTTCATATGAGTAACATTTTGTGAATTTCAAATGAAGCAAAAATAGTTTTGTGTTTAATTCAGTTTTTCTTCCCCAGATCGTCGGATGTCTGCTGATATTCGTGGCAGTGAAGGCCACTGCTGTTTCAATCCAGGTAAACTATGAAAATATCATACAATTTCAATTATTTAGAGTAAAAGTCTCTACTATAATTCTGTCTATCCTTCCTGTATCGATAAGATAAAAAAAGAACCAAGTAGTTGCGTCTAATCCTGTGCATTAATGCAATGACAGGCACCTGAAGCTCGAGACTCCAAACCAACAGGGGGCGCTCAAGAGCACAATGTGCTTCACACAATTACAGTTGACAAAAAGTTTCGTCATATTACGAAAATAGCAATAATGCAGAACAAAGTTGTAATATTACAAGAATAAACCTGTGTTTACAGTGAATCTGAAGAAGCTTCTTATGAAGACACTGTCAGTTTTATTTGTTTTTGTTTTATTTTTTATAGTGTCTTTTTTAATCTATTCTTGTATTTTATTTAGTTTCTAGTGGATGTTGGTCCACTGTGGTTGTTTTTAAGTCTCTTATGACTCAAACTGATACTTTGAAGAAAAGGTAATGAATCATTTGAAGCTTCGCTGTAACTCGTTTCTTGCTTCCCAACCGATCAGATGTCGACATTCGGCGGCCCGGGCGTGGGCTGGATCTGGGTCATCACCCTCGGCGTCTTCGGCATCTCCGCTCTGGGAATCTTCGCCGCCTGCTCCGAGAAGGAGCTTTTCCTCAAAATAGTAAGTAGAAAAGTCTGAATCCTACAGAAACATGACATTAGGAGTCAGCAAAACGCGACCTGAACTTGTTTTGTTGTGCAGTTTGCAGGTTTCATGGGGATTGGGATGATCATCATGCTAATCTTTGGGACGGTCGTGGCTGTTCTGAGAAACTCGGTAACCTGCTATAAACACCCAGTGCATTACGAACTTCAGTCTGGTTTTATGCTGTCGAATTAAAATCATGTCTGATCAGCTCTGACCTTATAGGCATCAAAATTAATCAGGGTGCAAAACTTTTATGAGGGTGTGAATACTTTTTAATATGTTCATTTTGCTTTGTTTTATCGTAGGAAGCCACCCTGAGATTCTTAAAAGTCCTGGGATTGACCTTTGCATAAAGTTATAAGCTTGCCATTTAGTTTCTTAAGTTTAAGTGAAGCTCATATGTTTTATATTCAAATAACATTACTTTTTATTACATATTTAAGAAACAACAAAATCAATGTTTAAATACCTTGATTTGAAGCTGATATGTGTTCAACAGCAGCTATGTGTGCAAAGGACAAGAAGTCTCTGCTGCATATGAAACCGTTTCAACAGGGAATGCAAGCAGCTCAGAGCGACAGGAAGAGATCTGGCTGCCGGCCGGCTCAGTACTAACAGGATGTTGTTTAGACTTGGATGTTGGAAACCTGACCTTTAACTGACACAAGTAAATTCTTAACACCTTAGAATAAAATAAAACATCACTTAAGAACATCTGCTGATTGTAGGGGAAATATTGACAGCCACCCTTGCAAAAATGTGCAGTCAACAAACTCAAAGTTACGTCTGATGCATGAACAGATCAGCTTTTAGCCTTTTAATCTTTTGGAACATCTCTGATATTTATGAACATCACACCTTTTTTACTTAGAAGGATTTTGGCTGTCAGATGCTTCTCAGAATTGAGTGACGTAGATGTCGAGCAGCTAAAGGTTTTCCAGTCCACACCTGCGTATGAAGAGCTGTATAAAACAGGATGTCTCCCTATTTTTATTAGAAAAAATTTTGGCTGCTGTTGAATGAGCTAATCCATCTGCTGATGATATTAAAGATTTGAAACTTTTGATTCTCAGCAGCCTCATTTTGAAAAATCATCAACCGAGTTTTGTTTTTTATCTTTTAGCTGAAACAAAACTATGAGAGTAAATCCAAAGAATTTGTCGAGCCCATCATGAAAGATGAAGAGTCGCGGCAAGTCCTCGAGACCTTGCAGATCACCGTAAGTCCTGAATCCTTACGGAATGTGTTCAGGTTTTGTGCAGAAGTCTCCAGTAAGCCGTGTGTGTTTGCAGTTCAAGTGCTGCGGCGTCGTTAGCGCTAAGGACTGGGGATCACAAATCCCAACCTCCTGTGAATGCACCGACACCAGCAGAGCGTTTGGGGCCGTAACCTGCAAACCCAGACCTGTGGTACGTCGGGCAGGGAACATAGGGAGGCACTTTTATTTTATTTCACTATTTTAGCTGCTTTATTTTTATTTATTCATATTTAAATTTTATTATAATAGCTTAAAATACCAAATATATATATATATTTACATTTTTAATGAAATTTTATTTATTTATTTTTTTTTTATTTGAATTAATTTGTTTATTTATTTACTACATGAATCTCAGTTTTAATTCTGGCTTTTATTAGTTTATTTCAAATATTCTTATTATTCACACAGCTGTAATGACTTTAACCAATAGGAGCACTTTCTCTAAACATATGAAGGCATTTTGTTCTAGTTTATTAAATTTTTAAATTTTTATTCATTTATTGATGTTACGATTAATTTATTATTTTTATTCATTTATTACATGAATTTCTTATTTTTATTTGTATTTTTAGTCTCATTTTTAAATTTTTTTTTAGAATGCTTAAATCTGTGTTTTCATGGTATTTTTGGTTTCTGTGTGAATCGCTGTGTTGTTGTTTTCCTCCAGTTATCCTCAGGACCGGCTCTGATCTACGCTGAGGTATTAATTCACATTGTCAACATTCTGCTCATGTTGGGCCTGTTCTGGTCTCTGAACTTACATTTCCGCATAAAAATCTCAGAAATTTTCTAGAAGAAGAAAAAAGACATTTCTGAGTTTAAAATGCTGCAAATTTGGACAAAAATCTGAGATTTTCTATAAAGAACTTGAAAATTTTCTAGGAAAAATTGGAAATTTTGAGTTTTTAAGATCACAAATTTACTAGAAAAATATCTGGAAAACTTCTGTTTCAAAATTGCAAATTTTCTATAAAAAACTTCGAATTTTTGCAAGAAAAAAAGAATTTGATAATTTTCTATAAACACTTGGATATTTTCCAGAAAAAACGGAAATCTCTGAGTTACAAAAATTGCAAATTTGCTAGAAAAAACTGAGAAATTTTCTAGAAAAGAACTTGGAAATTCTCTAGAAAAAAATAGCAATTTCCGAGTTTCAAAAGCTGTAAATATTTAACTTCTGAAACCAAAGTCTTCTTTCTGAAAAAAATCTGAGATTAATCAGATTTTTTTTCTAGCCAGTTTTTGTCTTTTCAGATTTTCTTGTTTTTTCTAATAGCAAAAGATTTTCAACTTTCCAAAATTCTTGAAAATTTCTGAGATTAACCTAAAAATGTTTATTTCCTTTTAAGCAAATTTCCACCTTTTCAAACTGAGGAATTTCCTTGATTTTCCTAGAAATTTTCAGAGTTTTTTACTCCTATTTTTTCTATCTGAACGGCCCTGATATCCTGTCGAATGTTTAAATCTTATTGTTTTATTTCCACTCTCTCCTCTACAGTCCTGCAGTGACAGCATCTTTTACTTACTGGACATTGGATTCAAGATCTCCCTGGGCTTCCTGTTTGGATTCGCTGTCACTGCAGTAAGTCCCACTGATATTTTAATTTATAAATTCATTTCTTCCCAGCATGTGATTGTGCAGCAGAAACTATAAAACAACTTTTAAAAACTCCTGGATTTGGCATTTCATTGCTGCAGGTACCGTTTGCCACCAACAGGTGGCAGAGTTTCACCATTTATTGTGATTTAAACAGGTTTTTAAAACCTGATTAGAAAAATAAACCAGTTTCCTCAAAATGACGGCCACCAGGGGGCGCTGTTGCCTCTGAAATACGAAAAAACTGAATCCCATACATTTTTCTCTTCTTAAATTTTCATCATCGTTTTTGTTTCTTGTTGTTCAATCATTTTCAAACATAAAATATAAGTTAAAATAACTGATTTAGATGTTATTTCTGATGCTTTGCTCCTCATGTTAGCATAGCAGCAAAAACTGGAAAAGTTGACAAGAAAAAGACCAAAGAAAAAACATAAGAAGAGTGAATAAAATAATAATTGATGCGATTAACATAAAATATTACATATTTTCTTATCAAGAGAGGATTGTGTTGAAAAAGTTTATTATCTGGTAATAAAGTCATAATATCTGATAAGTTATGTGGTGGAAAATGTTACCACCAACTAAAATCAGACGATGCAACATTTATGTTAATAACAAATTTATTGCTTATTTTTCGGTGCTAATCAGATACATGTGACCTGATTAAGTAGTTTTCATTTGAACTGAATGTTTCTCTGTCCTTGCAGCTGTTGGGCCTGCTGATCTCCATTCTGATGATCCATCAGATCAGGCGCCACGACGGCATGGGAGGGCCGTCCATCGCCATGAAGGGCTACTGAAGCAAAGCTGAACGTTAGGATCTGAAATGTAACCAGAGTCTGTTTTTATCATTAACACGGAGGGATTTAAATCGTCCTGGGAGGAGACAGCTTCTCCTCTTTCTGACTTTGTACCACTGATTCTTGTATAAACATTTATTTTTTTACATCTTCATGTTTTGTTGCTGAATTGTAATAATCTATGAAACGCAGAAAAAATCTGAATATTTCCCTCAACAGCAGCTGGGAGATGAAAAACATTTCCAGACATTAAATTCAACAATTATTTAGAAAAACGACAATCGTGGGATTAATTTTTTATACATTCTGGGGTCTGAAACTGGCAAACATCTCTTTATAAGTTGGCAAAACAATCACTAAAGCAGATTATATAAAATTTCCAGTAATTTTAATGGAATAATTGGGTTGAATTTTCAGAACAGAATGACTTTAAAAGTGCCAGTAACATTTTTTACATCTATTTTCGTATCATTTTGTTGGAAATAGTCTTTTTTTATTTTCTTACATCATTTTCCAAATATTTCTACAAAATCATCCACCCTTTTTGCAAAATTTGTATTTTTCTTTAATTTAAAACCAAAGAATCTAAATAAAGTGGTGGTTGTTTAAAAATGACAACAAATCTCCAGCAGTAAAAATGAAATATTATTATTTTTTAAACATTTGTGGCCTCTTTGGATTATTACTGCAGACCCGTAAGCTGGATGTTCACCTGATAAAATGAGACAAATCTGTTGTAATTAAATGTTTAAGCTTTAAAGTTTGAACTAATTATGTCAATAAATGTTATAAACTCCATTATAAAACTGTTGTTTAAATAAAAAAACAAAACATTTCCAGACATTTCCACTATATTCTGTAAAATTATTGCACTTTTTTTTAAAATAAAAGCAACATTTCCACAGATTTATTTGACATTGTGTTGAATCTAAATATTTATGACTTTCTAAATTTACTTTTGGTTTAATAAATGCATAAACGACACGACCAATGAAAGATATTTTCCGTACATAAAAGAACCACAGACAACGTATATGAATTTTATGCTTGTTTCTGTATTTATCATCAAAACTAATTTCACAGAGAACAAAAAAGCCATGGAAATAGAAATTATTTTCACAGGTGTCTATGAAAAATGCAATGAACATTCAAGTTAAAATCGGTAGGCCTAACAGCAGCCAGTCTGAGTGGAAAAATATTCTTATTTGCCATTTTCTAGTTGTTAAATATTCCACAAAATGACCAGATAAAAGATGAACAACATGCCAGTTTGATCTATTTGCATCAGCGCAGCTACTGTATGGCTAGCTCGCTGTTACTGTCTCTTACTCTGCAGTTGTGGAGTCACAATGTCTGGGATCATGAGCGCCCCCTGCCGTGAGGCAGGAGAACTGCCTGCCTCACCTTGAGTCTGTTCTCTGCCGTTTCTGATCGCTCCTCCGCAACGAAACACGTTACACACACAGTTAGTGACAATAAAAACACAGTGCATTAAATACATAAGCTAAATTATGGAAAATTTGTTCATACATTAAATGTTTTTAACCATTTCATTGCTGGCGTACAGACAGAAGGAGCATGATCTCATAGAATGGCAGCCGGTGCAGTTAGCGAGAGGTTGCGCAATCCCAGGTGAGGCTCAGCTTCCTGCTGCCTCACCGGCTTCACTTCCAAGTAAAGGTACTTTATAGTACAAACCTCAGGGTGAAAATATCTTTATAAATGATTTTATTATTTTTCCATGGCCGCACGTCACTGTAAATAAGTGATGAGTTATTTACTGTTATGGTCTGTAAGATACATTTATTCTCAGTACTAGATGTGGTCTCAGCAAACCCATGGCACTTCAACAATATTATTTTACCTTTTATCTGGAAATAGTGTCTGTTTATTCTTGCCATACAGTCTCTGTATTAATTATTGCTCTAAAGGTCTTGCCATACCAGTTTATTCCTCTGTATTTACTTTAGTTTCTTAGTTTATTCTTGCATTTTGTTCTTCATTCATTTCCATTTAGTTTCCTTTGATTAGTATTATCCTCTTTTTGGTTTATTGCTATGTCCACTTTAGTTTCTTTCCTGTTGCTACATTTATTTTATCATTTATTGACCATCATTAATCTTCACTCATCACCTGCTGCGCCGCCTAATCATCATATGTTTCACATCATGTGTTGATTTTTCACTGTTCAGCGTCGGATTTTCTGTTTTTATGCCATAATTCACATGTAGCTCGTCGCTCCGTTTCATGTTCCGCTTCTCCTGTTTCAGAGTTTAGCGCAATGTGCGCGTCGTTGTTGTTTTTTAACCCCTTAAGGTGCAGGGCGGTCGGGAAACGTATCGATGGGGAAAAGGCAGACTAACATAAACCTTTTAAAACAACGGAGACAATTTCGGTATTCTGATTGTAACCGGGTGGTTTTACTGGAAAACATAGTTTACATCCAGTGGTTGTAAATTCCCAGCCGTTTTGGGCCCTTGAACACAACCCCGTTCTGTCGGGCTCATTAGCGTATATAGGCACCGGGTGTGCCCGCCAATCTGAGTGTTTGTCGGGTCCGTTGTTTGCTTGGCTCTCGGTCAGATGAGCGCCGTGCTCGGATCGTGGACATTTGATCCTGGTAGGATAAATGGATTTTTGATGTCACTACCCTACCTGTCTATATTATTGTCAGCAGATACGTCATTGTTTTCTTTTGGTATTGCAGATTGCTGCTGTTGTCTATTATGCTCCCACAAATGGTGCAGAACCAGAACAGCATAGCTTATTTTTTATTTTATATTTTATTAGCTTATTGGGAACAGCCTTAGGGCTGGGTTGGGGCAATGTGGGGTTTGTTTTTCTTTTGTCTAACATTATTTTGTGTTTCTACTAATTTGGTTTGCATTTGTATTTGGTTCCAATTGCTTCTAGTCTTGTCCTGGGTTTGCTAGCTTTATTGAGTTTTAAATTGGAATAATAAAGCCTATTTTTAACATTGTAAAAGAATGTATAAATAAAATATATTTTGTGTACTATTTCTATTTCATCATTCTCAGCCAGACCTACCTGGGTATAATTAATTGGGAAACTCTAGACCACTTGATATTTCAGTGGTCTACCAGTTGGCTTTAGGGCCACGTCCTCAGTCACGATCCGGGTTCTTTCCCCCGTGTTGCATGATGATTGACATTTAAAAGTCCTGTGGTTCCGTTGTTCCATCACCCCCGTTTCATACCGGACCACTTACAGCTCCGGTGTTGACGCTATAAAATAAACGCTTCGTGGCATCACCATGGAGGGATTTCTTTATTTCAATGGGTTCATTTTTCAGAGGGACACACAGTGAGGGTATCCTGATTTTAGTGTTTACAACCGCAGTGAAGTTAGTTTCAAGTTGGATATTCGATATTCGAGCTCCGGGGAGTAAGCGGCGTTTAGCACAAGGTTGATCCGATTTATGAACGCTAATATCGGCCAGCGGTTCTCCACCGCTCCCCGCCGCAGCGCCCGAAGGTTCACTTAGGGACTATCAACAAATTACCGAACCAAATATTCCTGTCAAAGAAATGTTAATAAATGCCTTGAACTGTAACCAACTAACTAATTGTCAGTGCTAATTCATGCTTTTACATGAGCCAAAATAGGATCTATCAAATTTTAAAGTTATATACAACATTTTCAATAATTTTAATATTAAATAATATAATGTTTTCTTCAATAGCTTCCAGGTCATTTGACCTAATGACTCTAAATCACTTTGAAATAATTATACTAGTCTCTTTAGATGAGGCACAGACATTTGATTTCCATTTTAAATCATTTTCCATTTTTTAGCAATTTTTTTCATCAAAATTGAGTGTTTTTCCTCAATAGCTTCCAGGTCATGTGACCTAATGACTCAAAATCACTTTGAAATAATTATAATAGTCCCTATAGATGAGGCACAGACATTTGTTTTCCATTTTAAATCATTTTCAATTTTTAGCAATTTTTTTCGCCAAAATTGAGTGTTTTTCCTCAATAGCTTCCAGGTCATGTGACCTATTAACTAGAAATCACTTTGAAATAATTCTACTAGTCTCTATAGATGAGGCACAGACATTTGTTTTCCATTTTAAATCATTTGCCATTTTTTATGAATTTTTTTCACCAAAATTGAGTGTTTTTCTTCAATAGCTTCCAGGTCATGTGACCTATTAACTAAAAATCACTTTGAAATAATTCTACTAGTCTCTATAGATGAGGCACAGACATTTGATTTCCATTTTAAATCATTTTCAATTTTTAAATAATTTTTTTCACCAAAATTGAGTGTTTTTCTTCAATAGCTTCCAGGTCATGTGACCTATTGACTCAAAATCACTTTGAAATAATTCTACTAGTCCCTATAGATGAGGCACAGACATTTGATTTATGTTTTATGTTTTTATTTTATAATTTTTAGGAATCTTTTCCTTAAAGTTTAAGATTGTTGCTCAATAGCTTTCAGATAACATCATAAAATTACTTCAAATCAATTTGAAATGATTCCAGTACACTTTATACATCACACATAGCATCAATGCCACACAAACATATTACATTTTCATTTTCCACAGATATTTTCTAAACGTATTTCGAACAATAATGAACACAGTTTCTAGTTTTCAGATTAACTACACAATACACATTTCCAACTGCCTGTTTTTTTCTTTTGAAATTCTGTGCTCTTCATATTTATGCACAGGGCATGGTACCATCGGTCACAGTTGTCACACTGGATCTGTTCACAAATACAAGAAAATATACATGTTTAGCAGTATTGAACTTACTCATCTCCTGTCACACAGTTTGGTGTTTAATTGCTTGTCATTTATTATATAAAACATTTCATGGCTCCCAAGAGTTATTTCCTGTGTCTAATTCTGAAATTTACATTGACAACTCTTGATTTCTCACCCAGTCTGTCATTCCAGGGCCAGACCCCGGGGCTTTGTATGCAGCGCACATCGCACACCAACAGTGGTCATCAAATACTGTAATCAAGAAGAATATACAGCATATTCAAACTAGATTGATAGATCGATATATATATATATATATATATAACAAAATAGCTAATTATTTCAGAAAATTCATTTAAAATTATTAATACTTGGAGATTATATAAAATACATTTGTAAACTAAAGTAAATTTTCTAAATTATCAAAGTTGCATATCGTTTCGATATATTTTTCTGTTTGGATTGGCATTGTTGGTGGTTTATATTTTGTGAAATGTAATTTGCATTTTGTAATTTTTTAATTTTTTTATTGACCTCACGGGCTGCAGGAGCTAATGAGGGTGGACTCTATATAAGTTGACAGAGTCATTGAAACAGTGAATTAATTGAACTGTCAAGATGTGCTTGTCACAAAGAAATCAAAACTTAGTGTTCCCCAGCGAAAGCAGCGAGGTCTGTTTAGTTTTGTTATCTTTATTGTAAGTTCATGTTTTGTATTACAATGTTTGTATATGTTTTAGTTTTCACATTTATTGAGGTTATTGTGGTGACTTTGATGATGGTGGTTGATCTTAATAAAATAAAATAAAAAATCTTAAATTCACCAGTCGAGACTGGTTCAGTAATGTAAGAGCTGTGGAGATTCTACAATATATATGTGTGTATGTTTATGTATTGTAAGTCGAAATGCACATGGTATACCTGATGCATCAAGGATTTGAAGAGCGAGAGTTCTTCTTTCACTTTTCATTGCCTTTTTGGTTGTGTCAAAATCTACATCTGGCATCAGAGGGAAGGCTTCCATCAGTGCTTTTGCCATCTAAAGAAAAAAAAAAGTTTTTAAAGACTTTTTTTATGGCATTAAAATGCATCAGACTTAAAACATTCATGTGGACATATATAGTGTATACACACATAGTAAAACAGGTATGTTTGTTAGTACAGATACCTGTAGTGAAAAATATAAATGTTTCAACATTTAGAAGCTGCTGAAAGAACCGTAATTACAAATACTGTGTGGCATGTTGCACTGACCCCAGTTATGGGCTACTGTTGGGGGAGTCTGTATTCCTCCAAGTGAATACACACTCTTTCCACAATTACGAAAGCTCATTTTAACTAACCAGAGAGACTGTATTTGATGATAGACAACTTTTCTCTATAATAATTACACAGTATCCACACTTGTATAACAAAAAACATGAACACATTAATTTACTTTGACTATAATAACTCCACAGCTGCTTCCGTCTTGTTGAATAGGGTGGTGCATTGTCCCCCCTTTCCATTGGATCCCAACCCAATCTGTTTTTCCATGGCATGTCCTTCTCATTTTTAAGTATTCTCTGGATAACAAACAAAATGATTTGTATAAGAGCAATTGTATTCAGTAATTCCACTCATAAAACAACTCACGCTTTCCTCTTATCAGTTTCTGTTAAAAACAACAATGTTAATTTTATTGAAATTAATATTTACATAAATATTTAAATTAATAGAAATATTTTTTACGTAATATATTTTGAGAAAATATTATGGATAATGTATTTCAATAATATATTCAGAAATCTGAATGTCACATATATTCAGATTTTTAACTCAATCTCTATGTGGTCACTTTGCAAATTTATTAATTATAAATACATTTGTAAAATTTATTAGAGCTTTATTTACTGTATTCTTTTAGCTGCCTTTTGGGAGTCCACGAGCTCAGATGATACTTGTGCAGGATCTATTAGGAATACAGTTCTGGCTTCTGCATTGATGTACTAAAACAGATCAACAAAGGAAAGGGGCATAACAAAGAAAAATTTCATTAAAACTAATGTGAATATGTCATGCTCTATCAAACCATAAAATGAAAAAATATTTATTATAGATGAAAAATCACAAACCAGCAACTTCCAGTGATTGTTGTTCACAAGGACAAATGACAGAACTGCTTCATAGTTGTCAAAGTTTACCTGAAATGGCATTAAAATTTTTCAAAAATCAAATGTTAACATAAAGACAAACTTTAAGCACATGTCTCGCAATTAATCTTTCCCCACATGTCAGCATTTACTTTTACTGACAATCAGTGTTGTGGTACTCGAAGTTGGTCTTGGTCTTAAGACCGGTCTTAAGACCA